TTGGGGCTAATGGGAGAGTATTGCTGACAGATACACACAGAGTATAAAGAAGGTTTCCTTTTTAGGCAGAATATCAACAAACTCGGGGAGAATTTAAAAAGGAGGCTGAGATTTCAGTATTGATTTTTTTTTTTTTTCTTTCTTTGCTATAGTTGAATTGTTCTTCTCATTTACCCTCTATATCCCAGCTATTTATTTCGGGCATTGGTTAAATCATCTTTTCTCATAGAAGGTGATATGTATGTACCCAACAAAACACTGCTAACACCAACAAGCACTGGGATTTACCATGAAGTGGGGGTGGGGGGATGCTCTCCCTTGGAGATACAGGACAGACAGCTAAGCCTGCCTATCCTCTGCCATAGGATCCACCCCATCCTTGTTCCTTTGAGCCTGTCTTATACATCAGAGGCTCAGGATTCCTGCTGTAAGACAGTGTAAGCTAATATTGGGGGGAAATGGAAGGAACTTAAGTGCCCTTGTCCTGCATAATGAATAGAGCTTGATTTTTTTCCTTTTCTATTCCTTTTTCTCCTTCCCCTCCCATTTTTTAAAACATATTTTATTGATTTCAGAGAGAAAGAGAGAGGGAGAGATAGAAACATCAATGTTGAGAGAGAATCATTGATGGGCTGCCTCTTACATGCCCCCCACTGGGGGAACCAACCTCTAACCAGGGCATGTGCCCTGACCATGACAGGGAATTGAACCGTGACCTCCTGGTTCATAGGTTGATGCTCAACCACTGAGCCATGCAGGCCAGGCATTCACTCCCTCCCCCTTTTTAAAAAAAATATAAATTATCACTGACTGGGGAAATAGGCTCACACTTTAAAATGTTGTGCAGGGACTTGTATGTCCCTTTTGGGGAGGAAAATACATATTTCACAGTGATGAATTCACTTCATCAGTAGAAAAACTGTACACAAATATACTGCTAGGATAATACCTGGCAGCAGCCTTTCTGTGTCTCTGAATCAAGATGTCCTATCCTGACCTATGACGAGATTACAGTTTTCACAGTACCAGAGCCATCCGGGGAAAGCTGCTGTAATTTACAGCAGGCTTGCAGCGGAACAGCCAGTGGACAATCATCAATTTAAACGGTAAATAAGAGCCTGCTTTGTTCTGGATTCTGATCCCAGGAATGCCCCTAACAAGCTGCCTGCAAAGCCAGGGCAGGCCTGCTGCCCAAGACTGGGTGATTGAGGAACCCCACTGGTCCTCAGAGCAGCTGAAAATAGCAATGAGAACAGGAAGGCAAAACAGGTTTCTGGGACCACAAGGCAGTGACCCTGATGTCAGTTTGATTCCAGTTGAACCCACAGATATGAAAAGCAAATAAAAATATCTGGTACAAAAGATGTTACCTGGTTTCCGAGCTCCCTAGAGAACTCAAAGAACTAACACAACCCTTTAAAGGAGCCTGCCTCTTCCCTAAGGGTACAGAAGTCCTGGAGGAATGGGAAGGAACTTAAGTGCCTTTGTCCTGCAAAATTAATACAGCTTGATCTTTTCCCTTTCTTTTCCTCTTTCTCCTCCCCTGTCTCGTTAAATCTAAATTCTCACTGGTTGGGGAAATATATTCACACATTAAAATATTATGCAGGTACTATCTCTAGTCCAAGTATGTCCCTTTGGGGGAAGAAGTACATATTTCACAGTGATGAATTCACTTCATAAGTAGAAAAATTGTACACAAATACACTGCTCTGTCAACTTTATCGATTTCTGAACCACTGGAAAGACTTTCATGGTCCTCCAATACTTCTTAAGTCTATCAATGTCTCGGAAAGTGACCCTGAAGGCCTCGGTTATCTGTAGAGGAAGAGAGGCAAAGGTCCCTTCTCGTAGGTTCTCCCATAAATACTGTGATTGCAACAGCTCGGGCCTGGCTCTGCTTCAGGAAGGGAGCTTAGAGTTGGCCAAGTCTTGCTTTCAGCAAAAGGACCGTGGCCAAACGCCCTCTCTAAAGTCCTCCAGATAGCTCTAGATTCAGGCGCAGCCAGAGTGAGACTGGGGGACTGGCATGAGTGGACTCCATGCTCCATGGCAGGGCACCTTGCTGTATGCTAAGCTTTCCTTTCCATCTCAGGAGCTACCTACCTCAGGACTTCAGAGTCTCACTCCTGCTTCTGCAAACAATCTTGGAATCTCTAGGTCATCACCTATTCTGATGCTAATAAAAAGAATATGCTTACTTATGATATTTGACATCTTATATGTTTTTAAATATATTTTTATTGATTTCAGAAAGGAAGGGAGAAGGAGAGAGAGATAGAATCGTCAATGATGATAGAGAAGCATTGATTGGCTTACTCCTGCATGCCCCACAACTAGGGATCAAGCCAGCACCCAGGGCATGTGCCCTGACCAGGAACTGAACCATGACTTCCTGGTTCCTGGGTCGATGCTCAACCACTGAGCCATGCTGGCTAAGAGACATCTTATAATTTTAAATCGTGTTCTCTTCTAATGGCCATCACTAGGTTAGAACAGTTCTCAGGCCTCTTCTAGTAAATGTCTTTGTTTTGCCTATATCATCTTACAAAGGCGAAATGTAAGTGACTCACCCACAGTCATCTGCAAGGTGGAAATACTCTCAAGGAATCTTTCAATGATAAAAATGTCATATTCCATTTATTATGGAAATATAGGGCCTCTGAGGGTGGAAGGCTGGCTTATTTCTCTTTAAGGCCTAGGGTGCTTACAGTTTGTTGATTGTTAAACAAAATTTACTAAAAATGTGAACTAGAGAAAAAATAAATAGGGATTATAAGAATTGATTCAAAGCGAAGAAAAATAGCTAAAGCTCATCATAAAAATAAAGTGTCCACCATATAGGTGGACACTCAACCATTGAGCTACCAGCCAGTTGTTCAGTGTCCACCTATATGAACCAGCCAATGGTTGAGTGTCCACCTATATGAACTAGGAAGTCAGAGTTCGATTACCAGTTAGGGCACATGCCAGGATTATGGGCTGGATCTCCAGTGTAGGGCATACAAGAGGCAGCTGATCAATGATCCTCTCTCATCATTGATATTTCTATCTTTCTTTCCCTCTCCTTTCCTCTCTGAAATTTATAAAAAGTTTTTTTAGAGAATATAAGTTCAGCTCCTCAATTCAGCTCTATCTACAGCAGATCAAAATTGTTTACATCTAATTATTGATGATGGACCAATAATCAGCCAGTTAGGGAGTGATAGAAATGTTCAGGGTCTATCTCTCAATATTGAGGATGACATTATTGTGTAATACTGTGGCAATCAGCCACTTGTGGGTATTTGCATTTAAATTAATTAGCATTACATAAAATATAAAACCCAGTTCCTCAATCATGCTAGTCATATTTCAAAATATTCAAAACCCCGAGTGGTACCTGTCTAGAGTACTGGACAGCTTAGAGAAACATTCCTATCACTGCAGAAAGTTCTAGTTTACACTGCTATTTATAGAGGATAATCACTACTGTGACCTCCAGTAATTATATGAAGGAGGAGAAAAAAAGAAGGTATGAAAAGGAGAACAAAGGGATGAGAAAACATTTATTAAGCTTAACTAGTCTGTGCTAAACATTGGAAATGACTTATTTTGTATAATATTCACAATTCCCCTCCTGAGGCATGTACTATAATTATCCCATATTTTACATTTGATGACACTGTGCTTGGAGGGAGTAAGAACATCACCATAGTTGCACACTTGCTAATTGGCTTAGCTGGGCTTTTACTCCAGCTATTGGACCAGTATCTATGGACACCTGGCAATTCTGCTGCTCCTATTGAAGAACTTGACACTTTAGAGCCATGGGGAACATTGTACTTTGCATAAGTGGTTCTTCATCCTAGACACACACCAGAAGCATCTAAGGAGTTTGCTCAAGGTACAGGTACCTGAGCCCTAATCTAGAGCAACAGAATGGGACTAGAGCTTGGCCATTTGGCATGTGTAGCTAGTGTTGAAGATAACTGTTTAGAGTTGTTCTCACCTACCTTCCACAGTCTGGGTGACAAAACAAAGACCCTACCCAAGGCCATTAACAGTCATTACTGACATATTTGAAATTGTCTTTTTAAAAAAATATATTTTATTGATTTTGTACAGAGAGGAAGGGAGAGAGATAGATAGTTAGAAACATTGATGAGAGAGAGTCATCGATCAGCTGCCTCTTGCACACCCCCTACTGGGGATATGCCTGCATCCAAGATACATGCCCTTGACTGGAATCGAACCCAGGACCTTTCAGTCCCCAAGCGAACGCTCTATCCATTGAGCCAAACCGGTTTCGGCTGAAACTATCTTCTTTAAAACAAACATTTTATTCCTAAGAAAATAACATCTCTGTTGGAAGAGTAATAGGAGAGGTATATTGTACTATGACTGTCAAGCAAGATACCTGAATTCTAGTCCCAACTGTGCCCATAATTCTGCCATGGGTGCAAACCACTTCTTTTCTTTAAACCTTAGCTTTCCTATCTGTAAAATTAGGGTGTGCTATATGATGATCTACCAGGTTCATTCCAGCAGTAACTCCATCCTGGCATTTGCATAAACTTTAGAAATAAAACTTTCAACCTGCTATAGGACAATGTACTCACTTTGATTATAGTTCATCTATTCATTCCATATTAAAAGAAAACAAGGGGACATCAGCTGAAAATCCCATCTTTTTATCAAGGCTCATTCTGATTCTCATCACTGACTGGTTAGAGTTCTTACGAGAGAGTCAGTAGCCTCCATCTAACAAGACTCATTGCCTGCAGTTGCCTTTTGAAAATGGTAATGTTATACCTACACCTTGCTCCTCCTACAGTCAAGGATGCTGACCTGAAAACTACAATGTCAGACATTTCACCACCTTAACATTCATCAGCTCATCTATACATCTCTTAAAGCTTAATATAATAGTAATGGATTTTTAGGTGGCTAGAGAGGTTAGCCAAGCAAAACAGAAATCATATCATGAGTAAGTAGCATATTGAATATATGTCTCTTACCTTACGCTTGTTGGTAGGACACACGTAGAGATAACTTAATATTGTTTTCAACCCAACTTTATCATTCAGCTTCTCATAGGTTGTCCCATAATCGGTTGACCTATAATTCAAAAGGAGCATTAATGAGGACAGAAGGATATGTTATTTGGCTGTTTGTCAGTATAATGTATGTTTTCCATAGTGGAACAGCTCTAGGGAGGTTGCTAAATGATTCATGCAGTATATAATGATGCTTAATTATGTACACAGTGACATCATGTGATGATTAACATTTGCATTTAAATTGAATTGGTAAAAATTAAAACTCCATCTCTATATTGCTCCTTAACCCTTGAGGCATGCACATTGCATAAAGGATATGGTTAATTTTAAAAGATTAAGAGATGAGCATGCCCATTGTATTGACCAAAGAATAAAGAGATTTTTACTTAGGTTTGACATTTCCAAACTTAATGCTTTTCATCTTTGGCACAATGGAAAAGAAGGTTCTCCTGATTTATCTACAAGTTGTGTTTTTTTCCATGAGTCATAGAATATATGAGGGGTCAGTTTTTTCAGAGGCCATTCAGTCTTTTCCTGTTATTGAAGAGCCAGAAAATGTCTTCCAATGTGAAATTTCACCATCTTAGTAGTCTTTTCCAAGGTTAAGCAACCTGAAGTTGAGAGGACATTGCTTCTTGGCACTGACCCTATCTCTGTGGAGATTCTTTCATCTTTATCCAGCCATTGGTCAACAACTTATTAATTCAGACCGAATAAATAGTAGGCTTTAACCATCTTTGCTAGGAAAATATATTATATATTTCAGAATTGTAATTGTATTAGACAATCATTCCCACTGTGTGTAGTAGAGAATATTATCTGTATTTGAAGAAATTGGTTGAGTGAACTTAAGTGACCTATTCAAAGAAAAGAGCTGATAGGTGGTCAGCTAGAATTTGAATCTAGGGATTCTGGCCCTCAGTCCTATGTTACCAATATTATGCCATAGCTTTATTTTTTTAGTTTAAAAAAAAAAAGGTATAAATGAAAGTTTCTTTCAGCCTACTTTTTACATATAGGAGAGTCCTGATACCATTCATTCATTCATTTATATATGTTTATAGAGCCCCTAAAAATGTACCAAGTCACAACACATTGCTTCTACTCTCAAGAATCCAACAGCTTTATATGAGAGGCAGACACATATTAAGTTATGATGTGTTAAGTACAATGATACAGATAAGAATTAATAAGGCTTAGAAAATAAAGTTGGTTTAATTAGAAAAATATAAAAATATAATCAATTTAATTCATTTCTAATACTGATAAAAATTATAAATTCCTATAGGTCAGAAAGGCTAAACAGAAGAAATTTGTACTAATAATCTCATCACCATCAATTAAGAGCCTACTGCAGATCAGGCACAGCAGCATGAAAGCTGTGGAACATGTGATTCTGGAGTTAAGAAAATAAGAATTTATTCTGGTTGAGGATACAGGTTATTTACACCATAAATTTTATATATATATATATATATATATATATATATATATATATATATATATATATATATAATGATATTATATATCATATTGCATTCTTGCAATTATATATTGTAATATAATATGTAATATATTTGTATATGTTACAAATACTAATTATTCATAGAATTTAGATGATACTTCAAATCACTAAAGATTGGGATATCATGCAAAGATTTTTGGAAGACCCATGGGACTTGAAAATGGAAAATGGCTAGGAATTTTAAAAAGAGAACTGGTAAGAGCACTATAAACTAGAAGGCACCTTGTATAACCCAAGGATATAACCTGTTTTCCTCAGGACTATTTGAAGAAAATCCAAAACTCTTTCATAGGAGATCTTATCTCTGGATCATATTCTCCCCAAATTTATCTTGAAGTGAAATTTTCTTCTATCTCTGAAAAATCTCTGAGACTGATTTTCTAACTTAGTGCAATCTCAACATTTGTTTGTTTGTTTTTTCCCATTCTTACCCTGGCCTTACCAGGGTACATGAGAAAAGTTTGAAAGGTGAGAAGAGAACTTTCTCTTCTTATAAAGACATATTTGTCTCAAAATTTTTAAATAAATTCCAACAGAAATGGTGGCAGCCACTCAGCTGGAAGAGCAGGAGGCTAGGGTTGCCCAGGTGATGGAGGATGCCAAGCTTCTGCAGCCTTGGCTGGCTCAGGCCTTCACTCCAGGCTACAAAGTTTTAATTGTAGAAGATAAATAATTTCCAGATATCAGGGCCTCCATTTGGGCCGCCGAGGGGGGGGGGGGGGGCGAACCACCACAGGCTCCTCGCTCAGGCTGCCCCATGGCCCAAGGGAACCCCCACCCTGATCCAGGACACTCTTCAGTGCAAACCAGCTGGCCCCCACCCATGCACCAGGCCTCTATCCTATCTAATAAAAGAATAATATGCAGATTGACCATCACTCCATCACACAAGATGGCTGCCCCTATGTGGTCAAAGATCCTGCCCCCATGTGGACACAAGATAGCCACCACAACATGGCCAGGAGGGGAGGGTAGTTGAGAGGGACCAGTCCTGCAAGGGAGGGCCGGGAGAGGGACTAGGTCTGCAAGGGAGGGCAGTTGGAGGTGATCAACCCTGTTGGAGGGCAGTTAGGATGGCTAGGCCAGCAGAGGAGAGAAGTTGGGAGCAAACAGGTTGGCAGGGGAGCAGTTAGACATCAATCAGGCCAGCATGAGAGTGGTTAGGGGGTGATCAGGCTGGCAGGCAGAAGTGGTTAGGAGCAAACAGGAAGGCAGGTAGGCGAGCAGTCGGGAGCCAGCAGTTTTGGATTGTAAGAAGCAGTGGGACATCCCTCGAGGGGTCCCAGACTGGAGTCAGTGCAGGCTGGGCTGAGGGACACCCCGCCACCCCCGCCCCAATGCATGGATTTCGTGCACTGGACCTCTGGTTTGATTATAAGATCCATTCTTGAGGGGCATATAATGAGATCAGTGTTCTGAACAACATACTTTGAGGGACACAATATCAGTTTAAAAGAAGGAAAAGAAAGATTGTAGATCTGAGCTTTACAAGAAAAGGGTAACAATAAAAATATTTAAAACCAAATTTGCAAACTGAAAAGCCAGCCTATGTGAACCATAATGTTTCTATTGTAAAGACAAAACACCACCAGCAACAACCAAACCCAGGGAAAAGATATTTAAAAATGATGCATCATACAAAGACACAGACATATTTAAGATGCAATATAGATAGCCTTGAAGTCTCAATTGGTACCATTTTTAAAAACATTCCAAAACAGATTTTTTTTTCCTCAGGTTCTGTTGACAGGTTGACTTATCTACAGATGAAAAACAGAACTCCTGTCAGCACCTATCCTATAGTAGAAAAAGCTAAAAGCTTAAGAAAATAAGCACTCCAGGAAAATACATATGCAAGTGATTACATCAAAGCTGGAATGTATTTGCTTTTGAGCTTTAATCCCTACTTCACCCTCTTTACAAACACATCTTAAATAGTGACTTTTAGAAATGAGTTGATTCAAGGGGTGGGGGAACCACAGAAAAGACATGGTATCTGCCTTCCAAGAACTACTGATCACTTCCAGATAGCAGAGCATCCCGTCATGCTTGAAGGGATCAATATAGGACATGACTAGTTTCCATGAAGAGCGGCAGAAATAAAATGTGGGATTGGATTTCCTCTACTATAATCTTATACCATCAAATGAGATAATAAATCAGCAAAAAAAAAAATTGCCTGTAAACTAAATTAGTCCATAAAAAGTGCCCAGCACAATGTCTGGTATATAAGAAACAATCTATAAATTATAGCTTCTGTTACTCATGTTATCACTCGTTTGCTTTTTCTTGATTTTTTTAATCTATCACTTATTAAAACTCATAACATGAACCCTCAAGGTAAATTTCAACCTCTGAGAATGACTGAGATTTAGTTTTCTGAGAACAGAAGCCATTCATAATTTAGAGTATCATATTTATTTTTAATTTTTAATATGTTTTTACTTGAGAGAGAGAGAGAGAGAGAGAGAGAGAGAGAGAGAGAGAGAGAGAGAGAGAGAGAAAGAAACTCTCTTCCTGCATGGGACTGGACCCACAATCCTGGGCATGTGCCCTGGTTGAGAATTGAACTGATAACCTCTTGGTGCGTGGGGCAACACTCAACCAATGGAACCACAATGGCCAGGCCATACTGTCATATTAGTTTTATGTGGGACTTGGATTGGTGAAGTAAGGATAAAAACTGAAATTTACAAGTTAAAGATTTACACTGCTTCTATAATAAATGTGCCATGATTCCACTGCTTAATAAACTATTATGCTTCACAAACCTAACAGATAATAAAATTGAACATGACCTAAGCACCTAATGTGCAGATTCCTATGAAATGAACACTGATATTAATCACAGGTTACAGGTAAGGAGGATCCAGAAGTACATCCAGCCTAGCCAAGGCCACACAACTTGGAGCTTGCTCCACTTAACCCCATGGGGTGCTGCCACTCTCAAAGGCTATCAGAGATGAAGGGAATATATTTACAAAATCTAGTCCTGCATTGCTTAGTAAAAGAAATATCAACTGAAACTGTTCAAATTCCTACATGGTGTAGATCAAAACTTGGGCTTTCTTCACATCAGGTAAAAGGGCAAAGGGAGAATCAATTTTAAGAAAAATATAAGCAGGAACTCACTCAACGATCAAAGATGAAAAGTAGACCATTTATCTGGTCCACTCTGGCTTCTGGGAAGGCTAGAGATACAGGCTACGTGAGCGGGCCCACCTCTGAATGATCTCATGATGTTTCCTGCAAGTCACCAAGATACCCGAATGCAGAGCACATGGCATCAAACAGAATCCGACGCAGGGCCTGCATAACTGAGTAACCATTCAGCCCCCTGGTTCCCTCAACAAATAAACACCAGATCTGCTATTTCCACATTTACTTTTTTACCTGAAGGTCTGCAATATAATAATCATAGGATGCCCAACCCTTAGTCCTTCTCTTTTTTTCTGTCTGACCCCTACCCTTGCCCACCCTAATCTTGACAATCCCTATACTGTGAAAGCTCTTTCCCCAGATACTTTGGCAGA